CCCCAAAACCCCAAAACCCCATAAAAGCAAATAGCAATAAATAATTGAACATAAATAAAAAATTTGCTAAAATTATAAATAATAATGAATATGTTTTCCTAGTAATAAATGCAAAATGATGGAGGGCGAATGGAGAGTTTGAACTCACATTTGAAGTTATACTTCGAGCCATTTAAAGCTAATCTTCGTACTCTAAACGAGTTTCAAAGTCAAATGATAACTGATGCTCAACCAAATTTAGACTTAAATTTCTTTACAACTTTTTACCCCCTTCAGCAATAAAACAAAGAAGTAAAGCTTGACTTTACCAATAAAATAGACTTGGTTCCCTCCATTTTAGAGCAACTTGTAAACTTTTACAGAGAAACCTAATTTTTCGAATAAAATAAGCAGGTGTTGCCCTAACAGATATATTACCAAGTATTTCAAGAGTATTCAACCTGGGAACTTATACTCAATTAGTTTTATGCAGATGTTGCTTTTAAAACATTCAGCAACAAGCAAGATGGGTGCAACCCTAGAACAGTGTAGCAATTGAAATCTTTAAAGTAGCATAAGAGCTTGGTTCTTTTGGCATGTACTCAATGGCTTGAGTAAGTATAAGCATCTCATTTCAGAGAAAAGAATGTCAGCGTGAGTCATGTCCTGAATTTAAGGAAGAATCCCAATATAGGGATGGGAGGTAGCAGTCAGGCTGATACTGAAGCTTCAGGATATGAAGACTTTGATACTGAGGACTAGATTACTTCTAATGAATATATTGAGAGAGAGATTGAGCTAAGGAAAACTATTTTTGAATACTTAAGATGTGGAAAACTCAGAGAGATTCAAGCAAGACTAAGTACAGCTGGAAGTTATGATCATGTCTTAATGCTTGGAGGATCCCTTCCTTTATTTGATAGTGTATGCTATGAATAGTATGATGAAGCTGCCCACTTATTCCAGAAGGATTAGGAAGAGTAGAGTCAAATAAATAATGGCATGTACAAGAATAGGCATCTCTAAAAATAAATAGATTAAACTCTGGTTATTGGGAATAGAAATTATCTGAGTTTTATTAATCAATTCTATCAATCTCAGCAATACTAAAATCCTAAGAAACTCAGGAATCCTCTTGTCATCCTAGAAAATGGTATTCATGGCACCTAAGTTGGAGACAGATTGAGCATATAAGCTGTATTCTAGATGTTCCTAGATTAAAAGATTAATCAGTAGAAATTGTTGGATGGAAGAGATGGAAGAATAAACAATGAGGCATTCTTGAATGAATTGCACTAGCAGAGTTATCTTGATAATCTATGGGCTTCTTTTAAGTCAATCAGTTAGTCTATGTTAATAGATCAAGTTATTGAAGCTCTTAAGGATGGTGATGATTTAGATCTATATGAAACATTTTATTCTGAGTTAATCGATGAGGAATCCTTTAATTAACTCAGCATTCAAGTAAAGAAAAATTTCTAATTCTAGCAAGTTGATTACGTTTTCAGAGATGCTTTAAATATTTCAAGCAAATCTCAACTATCAGTAAGCAGATTTAAATAATAATTAAATCATTATATAGTGGTTTGAGAGCATCCAAAAGGATATCGTAAATGCTTAGTATCATGCCTCTGACCCTTAAAAGTTTGGAGTTACTGCTTGGGATAATTTACTTGACAAAATTTATATGGAAATCATGCATAAGCCTAAGGGACCAATAGTTGATAAAAAATAAGAGTATCTAAATTAATAAGAGTAGCTTATTCAATTAAGATTTTCAACTCATTTTGCTATGATACTAATGCTGACAGGAAGAATCACAGCAGACCCAAACAGAGTTGATCAATATAATGATCTTATACTCACATATACCTAGCATATCAGGCAATTGACAGATTATGAAAGTAGAGTATGAAATAATTATAAATTAACATTTGCTTTTAGTTTGAGCAAATGATGCTCTATATATCATTTATGATTGGAACAGAAAATCAAGCAGAACTGTATCATACCTGCTTTGGAAAAATATAGGATACAAATCTCAAGAAGTAAATACTGCAAAAGACTTACGAGCACTTCTCTAAAGATCTCAGCGAAAAATTCCTGAGATATGTGGCTGAAAAAAATATCTATGAAGAGAAGTATAAAGAGAGAGGAAATTTCTTAAGCTCTAACATTGAGGAAGTTCGTGAAAATGTCAAGAGGTGTCCAACCCTAGCGCTTGAAGATAAAGATGACTATGAGAGAACCAAGATGGTCAATTGGTTGTTCCAAGAGGAAGACTACAAGAATGCTTATTATTTCTCTAATGAGCTAGCTAGAAAATATCTTATCGAGGGAAGATGTGATCTAGCTAAAAAGATTTTAGATTACAGGAATGAAGCTAAGGGTAATAGAAAACTGCAAGACCTAGCTAGAGATATGGATAGATCTTTAAACTATTTCTTGAATGAAGATGATTAACTATCAGTAGTCTACTTAAGAGAAAATAGGCAAATTAGAAACATCATTAATGTGATAGATAGATCAACTGAATTATTCACTGTTAGGCAAGATATAACAGTAGCCAAGTACACTGTAAAACAAATATGAGATAAAGATTTTTATTTAGGCTTTATTGGAATAATCTTTTGGAGTACTATTTGGATATGAGGGTCAAATATTACTAGAGGATTAGCCTAGTATTTAGATTCCAAAGCTAGAAGAAGATGTATTCGATTATTATTTTCATTACTATGATAGCGTGAGAGATAGGAGGGAATCAGAAAAGTTAACAAAAAGTATGTTTTCGAGCTCGTTTAGATTATCTTCCTTTGTCTGAGAGAACTCAAAAGATTAGATGAATTGTAATTACTTATATTAAAAAACTCTTATTAGGTTGATATTTATCGAGGACATCAGATAGAAAAATGAAAGGATTTTCGATTACTTGACAAGCTAGGACTTGCAAAATTTGATTGGCTTAGTGACTGACGTGGTTATGAGCAGCAGCTAGACTATTATGTACGAACTTTTGCACAGTGATGAATTTTAATGAACTGACAATTAAAGCTAATTAAATTAAACTATGAATATAATAAGATGATATTGATTGACTAAGTCTATTATACTAAATCTCAATTGCTGGGGTTTTGGGGTTTTGGGGTTTTGGGGTTTTGGGG